ATGGAAAGGTCGCTAATGAGTAGGGTTTGGCATGAACTGGGAAAATGTGGTTTGTTGTGGTTTGTGGCATGCCCAGAGTGTGAGCTACGAACTGTCACAAACTTTTAGGTGCCAAACAAACTGGTTCAGTTTGTGAGGTTCATGATGTGGTAGAGTAAACCCCAGTGTGCTAGGGACACCAAACTCACTCACCTTTACCTGTCCTCTAAGTTTGGAGAGGATTGGATTTATGGGATCCAAGTTACAGCCCCCCAAGAAGGTGCCCCCAGGAAAGTGCTTTCTGGGGAAATGAGAGGTACAGGTTCAGGAGGTTCAGATGTATAGAATAGACCCTGTGCAAACTAGACACATCAATCTTGCAGGAGATCTCCCCTGATGCTCCTCTACATGCCCTCCAAGTCATGTGCAAATTGGACTTAGGGGGTCTGAGTTATGGCCCCACAAAGAAGATGCCCCCAGGATAGTGCTTTTGGGGGAATTGTCTGGCGCAGGTTCAGAAGTGTATAGAATGGACCCCCTGCAAGTTACACACACCAAATGCACACAAAACCTCACTCTGCTGCCCACTCCTCTACAATCTCTCTAAATTGCAGTAAGATTTCTGGGGTCTCAGTTACAGACAACAAAAAAGGTCTCCCCAGTGCTCTATCTGGAAAAGACAACTGCAGTTACAGGAGTCTATGGACTGGCTCAGGAACAAGCCAGTAACACCAAACTCACAGGGAAATTTCATCTAGGCAGACTGCCCCAGCCAGACACCGGAAGCAAGGCAAGCATCTCCCCTATGCTCGCAGCCCCCCCCAACTCTCCAAAGGTGGGCTCTGAAGAACAGAAAGGACATCCCCTGAGTTTTGACAGGGCCCCCCCAAAGTAACCCCACATCAGCTTGGCAGAAAACTCTGGCAAGCACTGGAACCCAAGAAGGTGTGCCCACAATGCTCCCAGGCCCCCTCATGCCCAAACAGATCCTCTGATCATAGCTCACCCCTAGTTGAAATTTCTGGTTATTTTCCATTAGCAGAATACATTGTACAGATAAGAGATCACCTGTTTTGAATTGTACAAATGCAGTGGAAATGGGTAGTCAAACAGGAGGTTGCTTATACAGGCAAATGTTGGTTGAGATCGATGTTTGCTGAGATGGATGTTCTTTCCTGAGGTAGGTGTTGTGTTATGAGGTAGATGTTGTTTCATGAAGTAGGTGTTGGGTAAGGGAGATTGGAGGGTAGAAGTAAAAGGGGGCTATTCAGGGGTTTTCTCAGCAGGAGAATGTCAGTGAGAAAGTTTGGGTCTGCCTGTCTGCTGAGGTAGGGGGAAGGGAATAAGCCAAATCATCCTGGACATACTCACCCTCTAGAACTCTACCGTTACCATGATTGCACATTTGGTGGAGCAGTACTCCTTGGTGTGACCACACATTCTCTCCCTCTTGTCTGTTAGTTGCTAGCTGCCTCCCAACTCTGGGTCACTACCTACTTAAGTGCTCGGCCTAATAAGAGAACATAAGAGAAGCTCTGAGCGGCTTACAATTCCGATTTTAACCAATCTAATCTAGGGCCACATATGTAGGGGAGGTGAGAAGCCTACCAGGCACCCTTATCCTGTTGTAGCAGATCTTCTTTCTTGCGAGGGGACAGTCCGGCGGCGACCCTCCTCCGGCGTCGATCTTCGGTGTTTCACGCTTTCCGGCTGTTGCAACTCTGCCTCCAGGCCTGGACCACTCCGTGCTTTTGCGCATGCTCGCAGCGGCCTCCGTCCAAGTCAGGCTCCGGCCTGCTGCGTCGCTCCGCCTCTGCACCTTGTTAGTCCGACCTCCTTTTTCGTTCGCCTCCTCGCCTTGAACAGCCACCATTTTTTCTCCGTCGCCTCCGTTCATCGCTCTCCGTTCTGGCCAGTGGCCCATCTAGCCCAACACTCTGTGTCACACAGTGGCCAAAACCAGGTGCCATCAGGAGGTCCACTAGCGGGGCTAGAACTCCAGAAGCCCTCCCACTGTTGCCCCCCAAGTGCCAAGAATATAGAGCATCACTGCCCCAGACAGTGTTCCATCTATACCTTGTGGCTAATAGTCACTGATGGATCTCTGCTCCATGTGTTTATCCAGTCCCCTCTTGAAGCTGTCTATGCTTGTATCTACCACCACTTCCTGAGGCAGTGAATTCCATGTGTCAATTACACTTTGGGTGAAGAAGTACTTCCTTTATCTGTTCTAAATCTACTGCTCATTAATTTCATGAGTTCTTCTGTTGTGAGAAAAGGAGAAAAGTACTTTTTCCTCTACCTTCTCTGTCCCTTGCATAATTTTGTAAACCTCTATTTACAAACACCCCTCAGTTGTCGTTTCTCCAAGCTAAAGAGCCCTAATCTCTTTAACTGTTCCTCATAGGGAAGGTGTTCCATCCCCTTAATCATTTTAGTTGCTTTTTTCCTGTACTTTTTCCAGTCCTATAATATATTTTTTGAGGTGCAGTGACCAGAATTGTACACAATATTCCAAATTAGGCCACACCATAGATTTGTACAGGAGCATTAAGATACTGGCTGGTTTTATTTTATTTTTTATTTATCAAACTTATACCCCGCCCTCCCCGCAAGTGGGCTCAGGGCGGCTTCCATAAAAGCATAAATACATTAAAATACACAATATTTAACCATACAATAAAACATTATAAATACAAGGTGCTGGCGGCAGATTAAATTAATCTAGATGGTATATTACAGGAATAAATTTCCACTGCCTAGATGTTCTGCGATGTTTTCTGCTCTTAGTCAGTTAGATGTTAAGACCACAGGCCAGGCTGTGCTATAGCGGCCTGCAGTAGGAGCCTGCAGTGGCCTGCAGTAGCGGTGGCCCCTAACTAAATGCCTGGCGGAAGAGCTCCATCTTGCAGGCTCTGCGGAACTGCGAGAGGTCCCGCAGGGCCCTGATCTCCTCTGGGAGCTTGTTCCACCAGGTAGGGGCCGCCACTGAGAAGGCTCCGGCCCTGGTGATAGCTAGCTTGGCCTCCCTCGTTTCCAATCCCCTTCCTAATAATTCCCAGCATAGCATTTTCTCCTTTTATTCCAGTTGCACACTGAGTCAACATTTTCTGGGAGTTATCTACCATGACTCCAAGATCTCTCTCCTGGTCATTTACTGCCATTTCGGATCCTATCAATGTATATTTATAGATAGGATTTTTGGCTCCAATGTGCATTACTTTGCAGTTGCCCACGTTGAAACTCATTTGCCACAATGACACCCACTTGCACATCTTTGACAGCTCCCTCTGGAGCGCCTTACAGTCCTCTCTGGTACTCACCACCCTGAACAACTTCATGTCATCTGCGAACTTAGCCACTTCATTGTTTCCTCCAATTCCAAATCATTATTGAACAGGTTAAAAAGCACTTGACCTAGAACCGAGCCCTGCAGTACCCCACTGCTTACCACCATCCACTGTGAAAACTGCCCATTTATACTCACTCTCTGTTTCCTGAGTTATTGCTGGTTTGCAAGATAGGGCAGAAGCAGATGGCCCAGAAAACAGACTAGGGCAGAAACACAGATATGGCCCAGAAGATAGAATTATTTAGTCATGATCTGAGAAATTCAAAGGTGTTTCTGAAATGTTTTGGAATTCTTTGCCTATGGAATAATTCCTTTTGCTTCATGATTCAGAATAACAAGTCAGGAGGAGCATGCCTATAGTGTGTCTTAAACAATGTTGTAATGGTACAACAATATATAGCAAATCATTTTCTTGTGTTTTAAGTTTGTTCTCATTCCTTTGGTTTGGGTCACCTGCTTTTGCCATCCAGAGTTTTCTGGTCTCCATGTAGTTATGTGTCCAGGGTTGAGCTGAAATGGCTAGCAGATTTTTCCTCCATGGGGAAAGTCTATTTTAAATAGTAATGCATGCATACTAGTAATAACTTTGTAGAACGTGTCTAACATGAGTTCTTTGATTCACTGTGTCCTCACAAATAGAAGATGAAATAAGTTACAAGCAAATTATATCTTTGTTCTGTACTGCTATGTTTTTCAGCAGCAAAGTTAACATTTCCAACTTATCTTCTGCCTTGAATACATACTGTATTAATTGGTTATTGAAAATAACTTAATTTTTATGGTGACCTTTGTTGCTTCTATAGAAACCCATAACCAACACAACTGTTGGGATCAATAGTATGTCACTTTCGAAACCTTTCAAGGTGACTTCAGCTCTATTTGTGGAAAACTTGCAAGCAGAAGAGAGCTTAAAAGTTGCCATTTAGCTGTTCAGTAGCTCTAACTACCTGTCATTGTTAGGATATAAGAACTGTATGGGGTGGACTTGATGACACTGTGAGACCTGCTAATACCTTTAAGGCCAGCTCAGTTTGCAAGAATTGAAACTTATCTCGATGTGTAAACCTTTCACACATTCAGTAGCTAACTGTCATGATAATTAACAGAGGGATTGAAATGTCCCTTTCACTCAAATAGGGTTTAAAAAAAAACAACTCTTGCAATAAAAATATTCAGTAAAGTATTACAGTGAAAGAATTAACTGCTGAGTAAAGAATATAAAGTTACATCTAATTTTTAAGTTGGTAATTCTCTATTTAGAATATAATTGACAATCCAAAACAGTTCAAGTGGAAAAAGCTGCCATATTATAGTAACAGAAATATTTTCTGCAGTGTTTGGGGCCCATTTGTGTACAGTGTTTTCATTTTCCTATTCATTCCAGTAGGGGTCCATATCCTAATAATGTTTCAGGTTTTAAAGTAAACCTGTTGTGTGGAGGGGGAAAGCATAAACCATTGTTTATGCTGACTTCATTATCTTTGATTACATGAAGTATGAAGTGGTACAAGTTAGCTGAAATGCTTAACCCCACTGATGGAAGAAAAGTCATATAAACTGCAGGCATCTGAGCCATTATCTGATGAAGGTGAGTGCATGCAATGGTGGTATACCTCATAATGTGAGACAAAATATTCTGTGCTTATTCTTTATTTTCCTTTTGTTTCAGGTGAGAAGTTCAAGGTAGAAACAAAAACTATTGTTGCTGACTTTGAAGATCAAGAAACTGTTTATGATAAGATAAAAGAGGGATTGGAAGGCCTTGAGATTGGTATCCTAGGTTCGTATCTCACTTGGTTTCTAGAGTCTTTGCCATTATGTTCTAGGAAAAAACAGATAAAGTATACATTTCTTAGCATTATCTTTTGTTGAAACGAAGTCTGGAGCCTCGATAGTTTATTCAGCTGTCATTCAAAAATGGAAAAAATTGTTCTTACTACACATAGCCTGTCCTGTCCAAGAAGGCACCATATGGTTTCTGTACTTCATTCTGAAACCATTTATCCTTGCACTAACTCTCCTGTGTTTTCTAGCAGTTAGAAAGTTAACAATACTGAGATAGTCTGTTAAGAAATAACTCTGCCCTTGCTCTTCCATATCAGTTCTCCCATCCCATGCTGCATTCATGAACGCTTAATATGGCCGGTTGATGACACTGTCTAGGTTCTTCTGCAGTCATATTTTTTCTGGTCAGATGCAAGTAGTCTTGTCAATTGAGCTGAATCTTTCATGACCAGAAGACTGGCTTTCCCCCCTCTTGCATTACAGGATGTCACTCCTTAGCTCTTCAGGTTGCTGCCTGCCTGAGATACTTTGTGCATCGGGTTCTAAGTTATGCTGAATAGTTGAGCTTGAAAACATATTGGTTCTCTTCTCTCTGCCTGGAGAGAAGACTAGCAGAATAGATGGGGGGGATCTCGATCTGCATCATGTCTCGGCATAGTAGCCTAGATCTCTTTTGAAATCTAATCAGTTAGATGTTATATTGCAGAAAATGATCAGATTTAATGATGAAGAGCTTAGGCATCAAATTAATTTTTAGACTGGAATTTCCCACTGCAGGTTCAGTTAATTGAGAAAAAGACAAGATTGTCCAATTGGCAAAGTGCTGGACTAAACAATAATTGAGCTCCTCTGCTGTCAAGTAATGGAAATGAGGGGGAGTACCTTCCATATATGCAATAGTGTTCAGTTTCTCTATTTTCCATTGCTCTTCTGTCTTTGCTTATGTTGGGTAGAATAATGTTCCATTGGACTGATGCTGGAGAACTACCATAATATTGTAGCTAGACTTGCACTTCAGAAACTTGAGGTTAAGCCCTTAGTCAAGGATGAGGCTTATTGGATGGCCTAACCTACCTGTTTGTGAAGATAAAAGGTTCGTAGTTTGCTTGTTAACATACAGCTCTGCAGTTATAACATTTCTTCTGTTTGGGGGGGAAAAACAGAATGGTCCCCAAGAATGGTGTCAGATCAGTGAAAGTTTGCACAGCGGAAACACAAATGGGGATACAAGAAATTTGACTTTGTGCAAACTGTAGTGCACATGGAATTCTTGCACTTGATTTGACCCATTGAATGAGTATATTCAGTCTTCTAAGAGTTATAAAGATTTCAAGAAGACCCTTAATTGTACTGAGTCCTACTTTGAATTGATGATTTCACAAAATTTAGAGTATTTAAAAATTGTTTCCATTGCCCCTGAGATGTATGAAGCACTTTGTCACACATTATTGAGTATACAAGTTGAGTCTGGATTCCTACACTGTGTCAGATGTGACAAAGTCATAACATGTTGTGGGTTCTCAGTGCCAGCACATGGAAGAAGGGGTTCAGGTTTCCCCTGGCACCATTTTCCTATCCTGAAATGATCTCAGGGGGGAACTGATATGTTCCTTTGGATACATATGGACTTCCCCAATAGCACTCCTTGGGACTGTTTCATGTTGGGAAACTAATGCGTGAGTGTGTGTGGCCCCATTTCCATGTGTATCACAGTCTTAATCAGGCACTGCATGCAAAGGAATTGAGGAGAATCAGCAACTCGATGTGATTGTGTTATGTCTGACACAGAGCAAAGATCCCAAACCCAGTCTGTGTGTGTACTCCATAATGTGTGAAGATGCTTAAGAAGACTACAGATGGGGAAATTATCTTGGCTTTCAGAAGATCTGTACTTTGTATTTTGTCAGCTATCTCTGTATTCATTGGAAGGTGGTGGTACGTTTCCATGGAAATACTAGCATGTGTAATTTAGAGTTTTGGATATATCATTGCATTGAAAAATAAGCTTGAAACAATTACTATTCAGTACACTTTATGTGATGCCAATCGGTTGGGGGTGACAGGAGGAGAGATTTCACAGATTTGAAGAGTGTGAAAACAGCTTTGTGCAGTGGTTTGAATTGGCAAATTCCCATATAATAAGTCTCTGAATAGCACAGAAGCAAAACAAAAACCTTTCAAAAGCAAGCAGTATTTGGAAACATAAAATTCTTAATGTGGTAAGGCTGTCATTAATGAGATTTTTTCTGCAGTGTGCTCTCTCCATCTTTGTCTTCCCTGAAGTTCTTCACACACTGCCTTCAAGGAGGTAGTACACTACATGTTGGTTTATGCTGCCATCTATTGTCCCAATGATGATTAGAGTTGGGAATGATGCAAGAATCCCTTAACTGCATCTCTTGTAGATGCTTCCTCATCTTCCAAATTACTCCATAGATATGTTTTTCCACAGACATTGCAAATGAATAGAACTGCAGTGGGTGCTTTGCTGAAATTCATCATATACAGCTGGGAGTGTTACGTGCTAATGATGGAAGATCGTGTGTTAACATCTAATATGAAATATGAGAACGTTTTAATTAATGACAGAATGGCTTTATTAGTCTTCCTGGGCAGGAAAGATCTTGTTGTGAATGCCCGGGTAACATCTAGATTAGATTAGATTACTGCAATAGCCTCTACATAGGGCTGCCCTTGAACACTGTCCAGAAGCTAGAGTTGATAACAGAATTATGTGGCCAGAGTGTTGACTGAAGTGGGTTGTGGGTTTCAACAATATTTTTAAAATTCTCTTCAGCTTCCTATCTGTATGGGGACTGCCTTTATCAGAATTATTTGAATTGTGTTGCCTTCCCAGTGGTCTAGTGCTCTCATATGCCTTCATTTTTAGAACTGTAAGGAATTTGGGAGAAATTAATTTGAAATTTAGTTAGCACAACATAGGTGTTGTCTGGGTATAGGTGCATGTAGTTAAAGTTAATGGCTAAACATATATGCAGTGCAAATATTAATTTAACATGTAGCACATTCTGGGAGCGTGTTCAAATAAAACATATTTTGTTTCAGTAAACAACGTGGGTGCTTCATATTCATATCCTCAATACTTTCTTGAGATCACAGACCTAGATAAAGTAAGTGTGCTCTGTTCCTTTTATGATGATTTAAAATAACAGTAGACGTGTAAAAAATTAAGCACAGGTTTTGGTAAGTTAATATTTAGTGTTGTGGTTAAAACTTCTAAACTATAACTGCTGGGTAGAATTTGGTAACAAAATGAACTGAGAAGTTTCTAGACAGTCCCATAAACAATAAACCAGGATTTATAATGACTGTGAAAGCATAATTCTTTTCAGGTGATGTGTATCAGAGACAGACCCACATATACTGTGGAATGTGTTAAACATCACATATTCTGATGTCCACATGTGGGCTCATCTGCAGATACTTATATCCACTGATTGAGCCCACATGGGGAGAAGAAAGATTTCCCTCCAAACTTGGGGTATCCTTCAAGGTTGTAGGAAAAACATTAATCCTTTCACATAAAGTTGTGGGGGTTAAAAACAAAACACAGCACTGCTGCAGTGGGGGGGAGGGGAAGAGGATGGGGAAAAGCAGTGCTGAAGATGTGGCTACATGAGGGGAAACCTCCCTCCCACAGTTCCAGTGCTGCTGATCTGTGCAATCTGGCCTGTAGGAAGCCAGCAATAAAGTTTTAAAAGGACAGCTAAGCTGGTAGCAACAGAGGCAGGGGTGAGAAGGAGCCTCCTTGCCCACACACAAGGCTCTGTAGCCACCGACTCAGCTGTGCTTGTAAAACTTTCCTGCTGGCTTCTAACTGGCCAGACTGTGGGATGAAGCAACACTGGAGGGTGAGGGTTCTTTGCTCCCACTTGCCCATCTCCAGGGCTGCCTCTGTTGCAGTCTGGCTGGCTAGAAGCCGGCAGGAAAGTTTTAAAAGGGCAGTTGAGCCAGCAGCTACAGAGGCGTGCGAGTTGGTGAGGAGGCTCCTTCTCACCCCTGTCTCCGTCGTTATCAGCTCAACTGACCCAGCTTCTATTCAGTTAGACTTCGGGGAGAAGCAGCACTGGAGTTGTGGGGGGGCTCCCTGGAGTCCTTGACAGAGAAAGGGGAGAGAAAGACAGATGGGTAAGATTGTCAGGGAGGGGGAAAGATTGACACAGAAGGGGAAGTGGGGAGAAAGAGGGGGTGGAAGATTATTTGAGAATGGGGAAGGGATCAAAGGGGAGAGGATGGGATGCACATTCCTCCTAAGTTTCTTGCAGCTTTCCACTTGTACTAACTTAAATTCTTAAGATTTTTAACTCTCTAATTATATTGAATGTATGGATTAAAGTTTACATAATCATTATGTTAAAAATCATTCTCAAGCATAAGACTTGTAAAGTGTCAAACATTAAAGAAGCCCTTTAACTTTAATCATATATCAAATGTTATCCATAAAAACAGGCAATACCATTGCTGTGACCAGTGTCTTTTAAAGGAGATTAGAAAATTGATCAAATCCAACATTAAAGAAGCAGTTCAGCTACTTCTAATATCATGTTTCTTTCTGCAGCATACAGAATGCTTCATTCTTTAGTTGTTTTACTATTCTTGTTTCTGTGCAGTGCATCTATTTTAGAATATATAAATATTCTGGTATGCAATTACTTATTGAAGGCAATTGGCCTGAATAAGAAACATAAATTTAGCTTGTCCAATTTTCTGTCTTGCTACAGGGCAAAATTGAGTGGTGAGACCTACCATATTTGTTTTGTTAAAGTCTGTGAGGTGCTCTTGCTCAGCGTGCTTTTCTGTGACCCAAGATATCTTGTGTCATGGGATGGTGCCTCTATTTCAGAAGAAAATATGAGCAACACTGGAATAAAATGAGTCAATACAGGTTTCTTAATACAAGTGTAGTAATCTCATTATGACAGGTTTCAGTTAACTGAGCCACATTCTGAACCAGCTGAACTGGTAGGATCCAGCTCACAGTTAATTACAGTATGAGTTTTACAGGCCTGGTAAGATAATTAATAAGAATAGATGTAATTTAATCTTTGAGATTATTTACTCTTCTCAGGGGTATTAAGTATTAGAGGAGGTGGCCTGTGTAATAGTTCAAAATATATTTTTTGCCTTAATTGTTAAATTTTAATTTTGCTACTACTTTGCCACACACCTGCTTCTGTATATGAATATTTATATTGCATCTCAGTTGCTGTAGTTCTTGTTTTTCAAGATCTTATAGCTGATAAAATCGTGTTTTGTTGTAGATAACCTTTTTTTCCCTTTTTGCAGGTAATAGACAGATTGATTAACATTAATGTCTTATCAGTATGCAAGGTAAGTGCCATTTGGGAAGAATTCTATAATAAGAAATAGCCTTAGGGTACATTCACACATCATAAACAAATTGGAGTTTGTGATTGGCATGAACCTGGTTAATTGTTGGGCTTGCACACACTCTTCTTCCTTCCCTCTACTGGCTGGCAAATTCTGAAGATGTCTTTTATCTATCTTCAGTCTTTTGTGGTGTCTCAGTGCGGGAGCCTGAACAAACTGAGGTTTGTTTCTTTACAAGTAACCATCTTTCTTAACTGCAGCTAATCCTGGTTTATAATTCCAGTTAATGGGAAAGGTAGCAACCTCGATTTGTTAAGGTGCCCACAGTTAAACACATGACAACTTGGCATTAGATTAGCAGCCTGTCACATCAAGGGACGAAGCTTGGAGCAAGTGAGCCTGGGCAGCCAAGCTCATGCCTGCGTAAAAATTTGTTGGGGACATTTGAATGAGTGGATTTCTTTCTTTTTTTTAAATTAACTTCCATCTACAGTGTCATTTCTGTATTGCAGATAATTGTATGATCAGTTTGTCTGAGGCAGTATACAGATGTACATTAAAGAGGTCTGCAGTGCTGAGAATTTGGTTTGAGCTCTCCTTTTAGAGTGCGTGTGACTGTAATATATCTGGCACAGGGATTTTCTATATCCATTGCTATGCCATAGCTGCCACCTCCTCCCTACCTCTGAGGGGAACATTGTACCCTGCAGCTGGTTGCTTGAGATTGACCCTGTCAATCTCAGGCACTCAGCTGTGAGAGCTTTTATAAAGGTTCCTCTTCCTAACACTTTTCAGCTGGGGTGTTTCTTTCTAAAAGAAAAGCTATGCTACCCTTGGAATTATTTGTACCATCGCTGTGACCAAGCCTATCCTGAAAAATTATTGTCCCTTGGCTCCTTTTGCTCTGGAAAAGGAACTTGTCTAAAGGTGGGAGGATTGAGTTTGATTGATATGAGAGTAGAATAGGAGGCAGTCTTTTTGGCTTGTACCAAAAAGCTCACAGTACCTATTTGTGGTGATATTGGTAGGCTGGCAAACAAAACCATGTGTGTGTGAAAGTTTTATTTGGCAAGATGTGCTGGGAGCATGGTAAGCTCCAGTGGTTCTGCTAGTGCTGGGACCATGCTGAGCAAAATGGTCTTGCATGTCATTGTTCAGCACACATATCAGAAGTTGCTTATTGCAGGATAGGATTTGTGCCCAACCCAATAGTTGCAGCACTATATCCTCCACTTAGAGACCAGACATATGCAGTAGACCTATCTCTGCCTCTCTTTTCTTCACTTAGTCCCTGTCAAACTATTCATTCTTTGAATATCTGATTCTTGGAAGCAGAATAAAACTTTAAAATAAAAAGTTAAAGTAATTCAAACTAGAAAGTTTGATGCAGAATCTGGCATTTATAGGCTGAGTTTCCACATACCACTGTTAACAAGCTTCTGTTTAAACAAGCTTCTGTTTACAGTTTGATCGGGTTTTTGGAATTTAGTCTTTTCCATGCTTCTTAAAATCTCAAAGAAATACTGTTGAAGTCCTCTGAACAAATAACTGTGTAAACTTTAGATTACTTGATTCTTCTCTTTATAAACTAGAATATAGCTTTGTATCTTCTCTTTCTATGTAACAATCTGTCTTTAGGTCTAATCTGTTTCCCCCTAGAATAATACTAAGATTTGCTTTATTTCCATGATTTTCACTCCTTGTAATAAACTTCAAGGTAATAGAAAACTTCCTGAAATCAAAAGTGTAGTGCACTGTAACTATAGTTCAAAGTAACATGGTCTTCCTGAGATTTTTCAGGTGAAGTAGTAATTGAGTGTATGAAAGAGAATCATTGAGATCATATGGTTCAGCTTACTCTCCACCCGACTGTTCAGCTGAAAAGCTTTAAATAATAAACGTTAATTTAAAAATTGTCATATTTATTTTTTGACAAAATCATTCCTCTCACTTCCCTTGTTTTTATAGTTTTTTAATGATATAGTTGAAGCAGTTAGTGGTTACACTTCTACTGTGTTAATTGCTTTATAAACTTGACCATCATTTTCTCTGTGATGTAGTTAATTTAATTTGCATTTAGACATCATTCTCAATAGGGTTATCCAAGACTGCCTTGCGAAAATGTGGATTAGAACCTGGCAGTACGATCTTATGTATAATTCTAGGTTTATACTGGGTTTAGATTGGAATTAACTTTGCATCAGGTTGCAAAATAAGTCTCCCAAATCTTACAGAGCAATCCTGAGCATGTTTACTCAGGAGTAAGTCCAATATTTGTCAGTGGGGTTTACTCCCAGGAAGGTGTCCCTAGGATTGTAGCCTTATTGGTTAGTGGTTACACTAGTCATGAGATTCAGTTTTGACATGCAGAAATGATCACAACAGTTTACAAGGAAACATGAAGATTAATGTCTCTTTAATAAAGCAAATCAAAACACTTGACAAGAGCATGCTAAAACTTGCCAGATGGTTGTACAGGATAAGATCATACATGAAATATGCATAAAATGGCTGTCTTTAACCTGCTTGTATCGTAATATGAATCTTCCTTGTTAATTTCTACAGCCTTTCTTTGTAATAGCAGTAGTTTGTTTATCCCAGCCCAGTTGCACCCCAGTGTCCCTGCCACTTATGCCAGTGAAGATTATTAAAACAACAGAGGTACCATGCAACAGTGGTGGATTTGCATCCCATAGCCCTGCTAGATCAGATCAGTGGTCCATCTAGTCCAGCATCCTGTTTCATACAATGGCTAATCAGTTACTTTGGAGGACAAATGATCAGGCCAAGAGTTCCCATGATACTGTCTCCTAGTATTAGTTTTCAGAGGATTACTGCCTTCAACTATGACGTATCCCTTGAGTCGCCATGTTTAATAGCCATTGGTGGACCTGTCTGTGCTAGTGGCCAATACTATGTCAACTGACAGTGAATTCCACATTTTAATTACTAATTGAGTGAAAAAGTACCTCCTTTTGTGTGTTCTGAATTCATTGCCCATCAGGTTCATTGGGTGTGCCCAAGTCCTAGTTTTACAGGAGAGGGAGAAAAAGGTTTTTTCTGCCCCCCCCCCAATATCCCTTGTTCCTCTCATTTTAGCATTCTGTGGAAGCATAATTGGCTGTCTGGTTTGAAGTCATAGCCCTTTAGAAGACAGGAAAAGAATAATCACAACTACAGTAGAAACCAATTTCTTATTTTTTCTTTACATCATTCCATTCACTGCTACCCAGACTAGTTCACAATAATAAGCAAAGCCAGTTAAAAAATAAAAACACAATAATTGCATGATGTGTAAGTATTTAACAGAAGGGTAGAAAGTGTACGCAATATTCCTCTTACCAAGCACTGAGTGGTCATTGCATTTACTAGTAAGTTGAATCTCTGAAAGGATATTAATGCTGTTTCTGACTGTTGCGAAGGTATTTGCTATCTTCCCCATCATAAAATTAGGGTTGTCTTTTTATGAAAGAAACTCTGAGATTTTAAAATTCCAAATACTGGCGGTAAAGTACACTTTTTCCTTTGTGTGCCTAGCCATAATATAAAGTCATAAGTGTCACTTGTATAACTGAAGCAGTTACATTCTAGCTTCTCTGTCTAGCTTGAGTGCCATTAATAGTATGACATATCACTTGCCTTGAAGTTGACCTTTGTGCTGTGTAAAACAGCACGAACTGTTAATCATTAAGTTGTTCTAATGATAACTAGCATGAGTACTTTCAGTAGGACAAACCTCATTGAATTGTTGTATTAAAATACAGAGGGTTGGATATTTCTGTTTTCCATCATCCCACTACAGTGTGACGTGCTCCCTGAAATGTGGCTCTGGAGGGTTGATGGTCCCTCAGGAACACTATGGGGTACCACACAGGAGTGTGTGATGGGAGGGGAAATTAGCAAAAAAATAAATAAATGATAAATCCGTTTGTGAGCACAGAAGTGCTCTTCTCATGAGAATAGTCTTGGGATTCAATCCATAATATGCATGCAGAATTTAATTCTGAAGACAGATTCTGGGCATTTGCTTGGAACAGTTCTAATCACCTGATGCCTTGATTTATTTTACGAATCAGAGCCAGATTTCTTCTTGATTCAAACTGATTCTGTTTGAAGGCAGCAAGAGTGGTGTGTTTCAAATTAGAGCACTTGGTAGCCTGTGATGATATAGCTCAATTCTGGTCCTCTATGTATTGATCTCTCTTGCAGCTTTAAAATCTGGTACCAGATTTGCAATTCATTAATAGTTACAGAGCCATCTTCTTTAGTGTATTATATACTGCTGGCACTGACTGGAACAAATCCGTGCTTGCATTCCTCCTGGGGCTTGCAGTTTTCTCTCTTATGGCAGTAACATCAGCATCTTACAGAGGGGTAAATTACACACCTTGACCATGGCAAAATTGAGTAAACACTTTACTTCTCATACTTCAGTTAGGTTTGCTGAACTAATACTGAAGAGATACTGGTTAATATTCTCCCCCATTCTATTAAAGTTTCCATGTTACAAAAAAGGGGAATTGAATGAGAACTACTTATAGTTAGCACTTGCTGGTTTGTGTATTCTTTCTGTATAACTTAATTATCAGTTGCTAAGAATCTCACTAAATTCTGCACACAAATCAGAGTCCTTCAGCCCTTATTTATTCTTATCTTTTCTAGTCCTCAGTTTATAAGAGCTTTTGGGGGCAGCCTCCCCCTTTTCAGAGAGGGAGTCCTCGTCCAAAGACCCTGAGCCCAAATCGGCATCAGATTTGCTTTCTTTTTCCTCCTCTTTGCCCTCTTCTGGTTCCCCAAGCTGTGTCCGCAGAAATTCACGTGCTTTAAAAACAGCCTTTTCTTTTTTATTGTTAATCTTGAAAGTGATGCCTTCTGGGATTAACCACCTGTAATTGATGCCATTTGTTTTTAAGAAAATGATTAATTCTTTATAGTTCTTTCTCTTCTGTTTTATATCAAATGGAATATCTTTTAAAATCCTGATATTGTTGCCTCCAATTTTCAAGGGTGTTCCCGAATTTGCTTTCAAAATAGCATCTCTCACGTGTCTCTTCGAGAATCTGACCACTATTTCCCCAGGCAGATTATTTTTCTTGATATACGATGAATAAGATCTGTAGATCACATCCATCTCGCTGCAAAGGTATTCTGCTGTTAAATCTGTCATTGGGGCTATTGCTTCACTCAGCCGTTGCTTCAGATTCTCTCCTACATTTGCCTGGACCCCTTGGAACCGTAGGACCAAATTTGCTTTATCCATTTGTAGCTGTAAAAGCGTTGACTCTTCTGTAACTTGCTTCATTTCCAGCTTTTGCACCTTTTTCTTAACTTTTTTAGTAGTGACGTCCATTTCCTTCACCTTTTCTCCCATTTGCTCTGTTGCTTTTAAGGCTTGCGTCAATTGCATCTGCTGGGCTGCAACACTCTGCCCAATTACTGACAGTTGTTGTTTAATGCCAGTGATCTCGTCCAGCAGGGGGCACAGGGAGTCAGCCAAAAGTTTTGAGAGCTCAGTGACCTCCTCCATTTGAGGACTGGCCCCTACTTTTGTTTTCAACTGCTTCTCTTTCTCTGGTTTCTTCCCCGCCATCTTTTTGGATTTGTTTACTTGTCAAGAAAGTTGCTAAAGTCTCTGATATTCGCCCAAAGGCTTTTCTGCGCTCTGGTAAGTCTCTTAAAACAGTTTTAACTGCTTAATTTTCTGCTCCCCCCTCTTTCCTTCCGTGTTTCGTCTATGCGTTTGGGAGGAATCCCTCCCCCACTCGCTTTCCCGTCGCTCTTTAGGGGGGGCAGCTTCTTTTTATATCCTCATGTTCGCTTCAACACAACTCACAGTTCATTGTTGGTCATTCAGCCTCGCTGGTCTTCATTTATTTCGCCCGATCTCCAGCGCTTGTCCCGGTCAGCAGCACTCATACCATGCAGTCACTCAGCTGCAGGACCTTCAGGGCGGAGGGGCGCCTCAATTCTCCGGCTTTCGGCCATCGAAGAGGTCGCCCCCCAAAAGCCGCCTGGCTGGGAGCCTTTTACCAAGGCTCTGGGGGGGGGGCACCTGACGGACCCCCTCCCACATGTTGGTGTGCAGTTTACATCCCTGGAGTGTCCGGGAGATGCGTCTGCCTGCGTGTCGCCATAGACCGGAAGCCTGGCTCACACATTTTTGTCTTAGGAAGGATGGCTCCAGAGCAAACTAATTTATTCAGTAGCCAAATTGCTCACTCACAACTTTAATGCCAGTAGCTCACAAAGTAGAATTTTTACTCACAAGACTCCACAGCTTAGAGGGAGTATTGCTTCTTATACCTCTGCCATAATTTGGAAGCTATCTGTCTAGATTGTTTAATGCATTTGAGAAGCAGGGCTGTGGTATAAAGCTGTTACTGTGCCACAGAGGTTACGCCAAGATGATGCTTGGATGGTTGTGATAATGCTGTGGAAGAGCAAAATGAGAGACAGGAGTAGACTCTACTTTTCTGTGTTACAAATGCTGATGAGTTGATCAGACTCATTATACACGTGTCTTATGGCAAAGCCAAGTAACGTAGGTAGAAGAAAAATAAGCTGCCTCCACAAACTAGGGCTGGCAGTTATAGACTACTTAGAGGTGAAAAGGGGTCAACTTCCTTATGAGGGGGCAGAGAGCGGCTTTCCTCAATCTGTTGTCTACAACCTACTCAATCACCAGAGTATCTTTCTTACTTACTTTTTTCAGATGACACGATTGGTGCTGCCCCGCATGCTGGAAAGGTGAGTCATACAAATGCTATCCAAACAGTCATCATTATTTATAGGGGAGAATCCTTTCTTTGAAAAATTCATTACTATGACTAATCAGCCTGGCCTCCATGTTTTAACGGTAGAGTAATGCCTTGTGAGTCATGGGTTTGGGTGCATGAATCATCAGGCGGTGGAAGCCTTTGCCACTTGATTCCCTTTTTTATTTTCCCCTCTCCTTTCTCCACTGTTGTGGTGATTTTCTTTTAAAATGGAATTAAAAAGCCGTCTGACTCATCAGTGCGAGCTCAACAACCTGCTATTCTGCGGGGGTGGCTATGGTTCCTGGGATGTTCCTGGGAATAACCTTCTTAAAGCCATTTCTGAGAGTCACTGGAAGCAAAATGGGTTCAGAGAATAGATTCCAGTTATATGGCAGGTTAGAGGAAAGGGTAAAATTGTATACAAAGGCAGGAGGCACATTTTGTTGATACATAGCAACTATTCAATGCCAGATACACATAATGCATCTTCCATAAAATGCTGGTGAAACTAATGACTTCTAGAAGCCCTGTTGGGTGTTTCCCAATCACTTGACTGCTGTATGAGAGAGTCCTTATAACAGTATTGGCATATTTCATTAAATCATTTTGTTCAGCTTTAAAGCTTGCTTCTGTTTACTGTACTCCTATAGAAGTCTATTTCATGTGGCATCATTTTGCCTTCTCACTGTCTAGACTGTCTGAGGTAACTGGAATGCCAGTCTTGTGGCAGGTGATATCCCCAAGCTCAGCTGTTCTGGTGTTCTTATGGTAGATCTCCTGCTCAACGTGGCTAGTAGAAGTTCTTCTGCATTCCTCTACTAACTTGCAGTAACCAGATTAGAGTAAAATATTTCAAACATTTTTTGTGAGTTTTTGAATACCTTCTAAATCCAGTAGTTTTGTAGACAATGACATCACATGAACACATGAATTTGCCTTACTGAATCAGATTAGTTTTGTAGACAATGACATCACGTGAACACATGAATTTGCCTTACTGAATCAGATTCTTGGTCCATCAGAGTCAGTATTGTCTACTCAGACTGGGAGCCGGTCTCCAGGGTCTCAAGCTGAGGTGTTTCACATCACTTCCAGCCTAGTCTTTCCCCCTTCATTTTCCTTTCTCTGTGATGCCAAACTGTAATGCTACAATGCAGCCCAGCTAAAGGGGAGGGGGAATAGGACAGCCATGTTAAAAGTCCTTTTCCATGTGCTCCAGGTTTATATGCATGGCTATGGCTTGTTTTCATTTTTTTTCACTTGCTATAGTTCCTGGGTAGCATTCACTAGAAGTTTTCCTGTGACTGTGGCATACCATTGTTTCCAGGTGGCAAGAACAATCATAAAACTTTCCAGGAACTCTCTGAGTATCCATATTAACGAGAACGAGATGGGTCTTTTTTCTGTGCTCTGTAGAAAACATGTTGTGATGCTCTGCTGGACCTAGAAAAATCCCTTTGGGTATATTTGGCCTTTTTGTTCTTTTTGTTTTGTTTTGGCTGTCAGGTACTAACTGACTCGTGGGAACCCGTAGGGTTTTCAAGGCAAGAGATTTTCAGAGGTGGTTTGCCATTGCCTGCCTCTGCATAGCAACCCTGGTATTCCTTGGTGGTCTCCCATCCAAATACTGACCAGGGCTGACCTTACTTAACATCTGAGATCTGACTATCCTGGGCTATCCATGTCAGGGCTCTTTTGTTCTCCATAGACAAAGGGTGGTAAAGCCAGGGTATTGACCAAGGCTGACAGTCCCAATTTCACTTTGTATGAAACATTTAGTAAATTACAATACAATTGTGAGAGAATTCTTGGCTTGTAAGTTTAGATGACCCACTGAAGTACCCTGTCTAGCCCCCCCCCCAGCACAGTTGTTTCGAAATTGAAATCAAACCATAATTCGCAGTTATTAAACCACTATCTTTTTTACATAGAACAGACTGTGCTTCCCCACCCCACCCTACCCAATCCCCTAAAAAAAAAACAACCAGGAAGAGAATCCAAGTGTACAAGGAAAGGGAGCCAGAGATTTGGACCTGAGTGGCCAGCCCAAACCATGATTTGGCTGTTACATACGATCTGAGCCATTTCTTCTGTTTCCGTTATTTCGATTGACTGTGTTCCTTTCCCCTTTTAGGTCTAAGGGAGTAATAGTGAATATGTCCTCTTTTGCTGGGTATAATCCATTTCCATTTGTGACCCTTTACTCAGCCACCAAGGTAAACGTCTTTTTTGATGTATCCTGTGCTGGAGTATGTAAACCTAGTTTAAAGAAGTTGTGATGAAATCTCTGTTATCCCTTTTCTTGCAAGTTAGTTAAAAGATTTCAGTTTTAAATAGTTCAGATTAAATGTTTTTATACAAGGAAAAAAATCAGTAGTTTTATGATTAATGAAAGAAATATTGAGATTTTATTTTAGTGTAAACTTTCTGCATTGGGCTTTGTGACTATTTATCATAACATGGAAATGGATAGTATTTGCCAGATGCAGCAGTAAGCAGAAAACCTACTGATGTTGCCCCCCTCACGCACTTTCTGCAGCCCTTGCCCCAGTTTATACTGGAGGTGTCCTAACCTTTGGCAGGGTGCTGCTGCTGAGGGACAGTGAAGATGGTAAAACTGTCCCAGGAACTAGTTCATAAAAGCTTGTATCAAAATACAAATGCAGTAAACTAAAAGCTGCTGTTTTTTAAATATAAATCTTTTATCATTCTTACTAGTTTGCCTGTCATTTTTTCCTAAAATGTATAAAACATTTCTGGTAGAAAAACTGCTTCCTTAAAGTAGAAGTACATGTAAGCAGCTGTGTTTTCACTGCAAACTAATGTTCAGTTAAACATTGGCCGCTTGTGCTATGCACAAGTATATTTGATTCTCTGGTGGTTCAAGAGTGGGGCAGTCCTTTTCTCCTTACTCCTGGGAAAGCACCTCCCCCTTCCGTAGGCAGGGCCGAAAAACTTTGATCCCGGAGGGGAGGGGCTTATCCTCTGATCCCCAGTCTTACCGGCCCTGCCTTCTGAGCAGGACGTGCTGGCTGTGCTCTAAAGAGCACAAAGATCCCAGAGGACACAGGAACGTCAGAAGAAGAAGTGGAGACCTAAAAGAGGGCGATGGGAGAAGGTACTTACCTTCCAGCTCTAAAACATATTTGAGAGCTGCGGGCCTTGAATTACAATGGATCCGGTGCCGGCAGCCCTGGGAGGCCCCCAGGCCGTCGCAGTGCCAAGAGGAACACCTCGGACCCCGCTGGGAAGGCAGCGGTAAACCGCTCCCCCCCTCCATCTAGCCACGGCGGCGTGCAGCGGTTTTGGGGACAGATGCTCAGTGAAGAACCTGGGGAGAGCGGAGGCAAGAGAGGCGGCCGAGGGTGGTGCAGAATCTCTGTCGCCGTCCCTTTCGGCATTGGAATGGAGCCCCCTCCTTGTTCCAGATCATGGCGAGGAGGGATGCGGCTCCTGCGCAGTCTACCCAGTCAGCTGAACCGTGGTAGGACTGTATCCATTGAGAACTGGCAAGGTGTGGAGGGGAAGAGAGAAAGAGGACTACCTCCCCTCCTCCCGTTTTCTTTTCCCCGCCATTTACGTCTTTCCTCTGTATCTGGACAAATTGCTTCTGGTCCATGGGTCAGGTCTCTAGCAGGGACATTTTACAGTCCTTATTGCTGGGCCTTCAGGAAAGGGAGCAACAATAAACAGCCTACTTCTTCCCCACCGGGTTCAGCTGATGTGGGTGGAGTAGGGCTCCATTTTGGGGTTCTGTTAGGAGAGTGATGGTGGCTACTTTCACTTTCAAGTTCCCCTAAAATGGCTGAGAAGGCGGGAACATCTAGCTTCCAAGGCACAGAAAGTCTGAACCCTTCATAGACTACCAATATAGCCTTCCAAAATACTGAGCCCTTAGGAGAGGACACCCATTCAAATTTCTCTCCTGGCTTAGAGAGGAAATGAGAAAGAATTCACTGATCTAGGGCAACAGGCAGCTTCATCCTAGGCTACTGATCTCTCTGCTAAAAGAGACAGGAGTCCCAGTACAGAGGGCAGCCTTCCTCCTAGAAATACAGGCCTCCCAAGCACAGCAAAGGGTGTACACCCATTGTTAGTGATATGAGATCGCTACAGATTCTGAGGATTTAGTGCCAGAAAAAGGTGAGCTATTAGAGCAGGAGGAGGAAGCGGTGGCTGTCATTCAATCTAGACTCTTCCTCATACTCTCTATACTGGAATGTGGGCTAAGGTCATCAGGGCACTAGAGCTTACATACACTCCAAAGATACAGGAAGACAAGGAGGATCCTGGGTTTTTTTCCTGTAGGCTCCAAGACTACTACTAAAACTGCAGGTGTGCCGCTTCCTGTGGCATTTTACAATATCATTATGGCAGAATGGGAACACCCAGCCAATCCAAGGTCTGGGAAACCCAGTGTTTAACAAACTCTGCTCTCTTATTTCAGGAGCCACAAAGAAGTTCAAACTTCCTATGGTGGATGATTCTATTAACTTATTAGCGTCTACTTCTCTATTTCTCATGGGCACTGATGGACTACCAAAAAAGACAAGGGAGTTGAAAAGGCACTGCGTAGAGTTTTTTGAGGTGCCTGCCATCTCCCTTAGAACATCAGCTACGGGATCCCTGTTTGCTCAAGTGGCCTACCCGTGGGCCTCAGAGCTAACTTCTGTAGACAGTGACATACCAAAGAGCCTTAAGGATGATCTAAAACAGATAGGTGTAGCCACAGCATTTGCGGCAGAAGCCTTTTTGGATGCCATACAACTCACAGCGAGAGCTATGGCATGTAGCGTGACTGCCAGGAGAAATATGGGGCTGAAGCACTGGAATGCAGATCCAGCAACAAGGGCCAAGGTGGCAGTGGTATCTCTCAAGGAAGTTAAACTTTTCAGAGCAGGCCTGGAACGTTACTTGGTGAAAGACCAAGGCAAGTCACGGGTGCTCCCATCAAAGAAGAAGGATATGAAATCTAGAAGGAGACCACAGTCCTTTTGAGACCTCATTCGTGATGATGAACAACAAAAGTCAAATGCCATAACAAGTCTAGAGACAATAGGTCATTCGCCCTCACAGGAAAATCCGGACAAGGTGTTAAAGGACCCAAGAAGGGAACCTCGGCATAACTATAGACGCAAGAGTACAGCTTTCTCTGGGCAGTGGCACCAGACTGTGTCAGACAAGTGGTTCCTGGAGACGGTGGCCCATGGCTATGCACTAGAGTTTGAAAGAGTTCCAAGCAACGTTTTTTGAAGATCCCAAGGGAAAAATCACCAAGAAAAATCACAAGATGATGTTACAGGCCATCTAACATCTGTTGGACATTGGAGCGATAGAGATGGTGCCCGAGACAGAGAGGTCACTAGGAATTTATTCCATCCCTTTACGATCCCCAAGAAGAACGGGAACACTAGAGCCATCTCGGACTTGAAGTGGTGTTGGACATTGGAGCGATAGAGATGGTGCCCGAGACAGAGAGGTCGCTAGGAATTTATTCCATCCCTTTACGATCCCCAAGAAGAACAGGAACACTAGAGCCATCTCGTCCTTGAAGTGGCTCAACAAACATGTGCAATCACGAAAGTTCAAGATGGAGATGTTGAGGTCCATCTTTTTCCTCCATACATGCAGGCGACTTCATGGTCTCCATAGACCTGGAGGAAGTCTATCTGCACATCCTGACAAGAGATAATCACAGGAAATTTCTAAGTTTTGCATATCACAGCAAACATTTCCAATATTGAGCCTCGCCCTCTGGACTCAA